TGGAGAGAGGGACCAGAGGGTAACAGTAGTTTATATAGAGCATGAACCTACTCTTACAATAAGCCCTCTATTTTAACCTCCTCTAGCGTTTACTATATCTGTAATAGTAATAATCTACGAGGTAAATTCATAATAGATAATTGTCCATGTTAATTAAAGAAATAATGTTTAAGTAATTAATGTGGTCATGAAGTCCACATTAATAAAAACACTTAAATATCTACAATTTCTTATAATAGATGCTTCCAAGGATCCAAATCAACCCACAATTTCTAACAATATCTAACAATTTCTTTTTTGTAACCTTTTTTCCGACACTAGAAAATGGCGTTGGTTAGGATGATGAAGGAAAAAAAGGAAAGTGAAATGGTGGAATTATTGCTGATGATCAGGGCCTGGGTAAAACAATCTCCATGATTATTCAAATGCAAAGGCAATTGTAAGAAAAACACAAGTTGGAAAAGAAGAGGGAACCATTTATCCCTGTTGATTTGTATTTTGAAGAGCAAGACAATAAGGAAAATGTCAATATTGCTCAATCCAGTACTCTGTCAACTTTTAAAACAGGACATATGGAAGAAATTCCAACAAGAATTAGTTCTTCAAGGAGTGGATTGTATAAGGAAGAGCCCGCATCTGGTACATTGGTTATTTGTCCATCTAGTATACTAGGACAATGGTATCGAGAATTGGATGAAAAAGTGACATAGGAATCAAAGCTCTCTGTTTTAGTTTACCATGGAAGAAAGAGGACTTTGAATCCTGCTGAATTGACAAAATATGATGTTGTTTTAACAACATATGCTCTTGTGACGATTGAAGTTAAAACACTTGGAAAATTTGAAGCAAAAGAGGAATATTGAAGATAATGCTATTTGACGAACGCTTGGAGGAGTGCATTGGTTCATGGTCATTTTACATGAAGTTCAGATGCTAAGAATCAAAAGACTAAAGTAACTTAAACTTGTTACAGAATCAGTGCGAAATCCTGGTGGTGCTTATCTGGGATGCCGCTTTAGAATGAGATTAAGAACTTGTATAGCTATTTCAAGTTTTTGAGACATTATCCTTATATTGATTACCAAAGGTTTGTTGATGATATTAAGAAACTTAAATCTAAAAGATCAGGATGCCAGAAGATTAGGATGCTATTGAAGGATATTATAATGTGCCAAAGTAAAAAAAAAAAAAAGTCTTGAATTTACCTTCCAAGACTACCAACTCGAGGTTGATGACATTCTCTGATGAGGAACGGAATTTTCTACAGCAATCTTGAACATAAGTATGTTTTGCTATTTAAGTCTTATATTGGCAACATAACTTTTGTACAGAATTATCCAAGAATTTGGGCTATATTTCTATGGCTTCGCCAGGCTTGTGATCATCCCCTACTTGTGAAAAATGCACACAAAAAGGTTTTCAGTAGAGTATCTATAAGAACTGCAAAGACCTTTCCTAAGGAAAATCTTCAGAGTTTATTAATGAGGTTGGCTGAAAATTCTTCAGCTGTCTGCGGTTTCTGCTTTGCTTGACTAGAAGATGCAGTTGTTACTTGTTAGTATCTGTGGGCATGTTTTCTGCTTTGAATGTGTGTTGAATCACTACTTGACAGAGAAAAAAATTGCAAATTTTCCTGAAGCTGGATGCGAAGTAAAAATCAGAGTTAACTCTATCTTTACAGATGAAGAAAATGAGGTGAAAATCTTAAAAAATGAGCCCAGTTCAAAGATCAAAGCTACCCTTCAGGTTCTGCAGGCTTGCTGTAAACCATAAATTCCTAGTCCACAAGAAAATGAATTCGTGCCGGCTAGTTCTCAAATCTCTAGGGAGAAAGCTCTTATGTTCTCCCAGTGGGCAGGCATGCTAGACTTGGTGGAGGAAAAGCTTTGCAATCCGGATTTAATCTACCGATGACTTGATGGCACGATATCGCTGGTTGCAAGAGACTCTATGAAAGATTTCAACAGTAACCCTGAGATGTGTTGGGTGGGCTCTCAACTATGTGTCCAAACCAACGGACAAAAAGCCCATGTTTTGGCCCAACTTTTGTTATATAATTAGCCCATTTTGAGTCGACTTTTGGGGCAGCAAAAGGCATAAAAAATAATATGATCGGGGCTGCTTTAGTGTGTGCATTTTTTGCCATAAAAATATAGAGGAGAAAAGAAAATTTCCAGCGTCTGATTTCTTCAAGTTTGGAAGGGCAATCCTTGTCCGTTGGTCCAGAAATTTGGGCTGAAGTTACAAGACTCATCAATCTTCATTTCCACCAAAGGGTTTTGGTTTTCGTCTGCTGGATTATGAGCTTTGTACTTTTGAAGTGGCTGCTGATTTTGTAGATTATTTAGCAGGCACTTGATCGGGTACACAAGATCGGACAGACTCGACCCGTTATAGTCACAAGATTAACCATTCGAGATACAGTGGAAGACCGGATTTTGAAACTTCCGGAAAAAAAAAGAGAAGATTAGTGGTATTTCTCATTGATGAAGATGAAGTCCAAGAGTTTGGAACTCGATTAACTGTGGATGATGTTAAACAGTTGTTCAATGTAGGATGAAGATCAATGAGATCGAGGTCAATCAAATGTGTAGAATGAAGTTTGAGCTAGATTTCGAACAAAAACTAAATAGCTCGCTTCCATTCGATTGACTCGAGCCTGAATCCTCAATATTAAGATTTGATTCATTGTCATTTCAAACTCTTCCAATGTTCAATGTACTGAGTTGGTGTGCACAATTTTAATGGCAATTTTTCATTTGTTTACGCTTTGAGAAGTTGAGGCGCTATTCCCTTTACCTGTTGTGATTCAAATAAATCGTGGAATAGTGAGAAGAGTTTCAAACAGAAAATTTGAGAAAAATAAAGAAAGGAAGTTGAAGGGTGAACAAATACATTAGAGAATAAAAAATAGAGAAAGTGAGGATTAATTAAGTTGAAATGATGAGATTAATTGGAAGCTTATTTAAGCCATTGATATATATGATGAAGACTAGATGACTACAGGCTAGCTTCCTCGGGACATAATTCATCACATACACCTTCCGGTCTTTAATATAAGACATTTCAATTTTTCATAGGTTTAATTTAGTACACATTTTTATTTGACAAAAAATCTTAAAAATATTTCATAACAATCAAGAGAATATAACAAATTTGAAATATATTTTAAAGATTTTTCGTCAATCAATAATGTGTATTAGGTGAAATTTAGAACAAAATCAAAATGTATTATATTAAGAACCGGAGAGAGTTAACTAAGGAACCCATTGTGTTGGAGAAAAAATGTTGTTCCTAATTCCATACTCTTAAGTAGCATTATTTGATTGATGCGTTTGGATCTTCAGAGCGTTAGCCCAAGTGAAATATTTTGCTTTCGGAAAATTTTTTGTATTTCCTCTGTTTCGAAATGATTGACCTGTTTAAATTTTTATTTTTTTGTTTAAATTGTATTAAAATTGAAAATCTAAATTGAATTATTATTTTGAGACAAAAAAATGTACTCCCTCCGTCCCAGAAAAATAATCCAGTTTGAGACAACTTTTCTAATTTGGTCAACACACCAAATGTACAACCCATTTTATGCCCCTAACTTTCACTAATGCCCCTTCTATTTATTTCTATAAAAGTTAACTACATATGCATTTATTTTACAACTTAAATTTGATCAAAATTTTTATCTCAAAAAATATTGACAATGGATCTTGATGGAGAGATCTCGTTATGTAGATTAATTTGATATATAACACATTTTTTTAATTATTCATGTATTAAAAGATATAATCATTTGAAAAAAAGGGAAAAAACTAAAAAAAAATGAAAATTAAAGTAAGTGCACATTGTTTTCCTTACCACTATTCTTTTGGATATTTAACTTATTTCAAATTCAATTAATTTTGATTTTTGTGAAATTAGACTTTTTTTTGGGACAAATTTTTTTTATTAAATTAGACTATTTTTGTGGGACAGAGAGAGTAATTTTTATGTCGCCAATCCTTCAAGAAGTCTTTGTAATTTTTGCCTTGTCTCTACTGACACTACATATGGAAGATCAAATTAGGATGGGAATATCTCAGAAGTGGACTGCCTACAGATAGGGCAATGTGACCGGCAACCAACGTAACTTGTGTTTGACAACTTTGGACTGTAATAGAATTTGATTCGTAGACCATTCCTTTTTTGTTGTATTTCTTCCGTTTCATAATTATTGTCTAATTTTAGTTTTTATTTTTAGTTCAAATTGTATTAAAAGTAAAAGTAAATGTCAAACTGTATAATAATTTTGGGGACAGAGTGAGTATTGAATAAGTGTATTGCGGGATAACCCCTAGTTATCTAGATATGCCAATTGTTACTTTTTTTTTTCCATATTATTTAAAGTTGTTCCACTTCTACAAGTCTACAATGAAAGAAGTTATTCAGAAAGGAAAGCTTATTTGTTCTTCTTCTTCTTCTTGCTTTTTCTTTTTTTTCCCCTTTTTGGCTTGACTTATTTTATACATAACATAAGCCAACAGAGATCTATATTTTATCCATTAAAATTTGTGTTACCTTTCAAGACAGTGGTAAACAAATTAAGTATTCTCTCTTATTCAAAATAATATTTCCCATATTTGATATTCTAAAAATATAAAAATTGAAAAAGGCCAAGCATTTCGGGGACAAAATGAGTAGATTAGGTTTTTTGTTATTTTTATTTCTTTTGGTTCACCTACCATTACACACGCTTAATTAATCATAAAATCTAAAAATAAAAACTAAAATAATAATTTCAGTAATTCGTAGTTCCAATAAATAGATTATCCCATTCCAATTAGATTCGGTATTAATTCGTGTTCAATCCTATTTAGAATCGGACGCCGCAAATAAGGAACCGCCTATGTACGAATTAGGAAATTTCGTTTCTCCTATAAATAAAGAGATCTCATTCGTAAAAACTCCAGTGAATTTGACCTCAGTTTTGATTTGAAGAACCGTGCGCCATCATAATTTTCTTGGTGATGGATCCTATTTTAATTAGTTCATCTGACGATGATTCAGATTATAGCAGTGATTCACATAAACGCCTCCGAGGTTGGAACACGAAGTTAGATAATCCGGTCAGGAAGAACAGAGAAGATGTTCTTAAGTATGATAACAGAAGAATCAAGTTGATGGCCGCGGAGCCATCCCAGAAGTTGATTGCTGAAGCTTTGAAGGATCTTAATAATCAACCCACAATCGAAGCTGAATTGCCCAAAGGGATCTTATCTGTTTCGCTGCTTCGGCACCAGAAAATGGCGTTGACTTGGATGTTGGAGAAGGAAAAAGGGCAGGGTGTTTGTAATGGTGGAATTCTTGCCGATGATCAGGGCCTGGGTAAAACAATCTCCATGATTTCTCTGATTCAGATGCAAAGGCAATTACAACAGAAGCACAAATCGGAGAAGAAGAAAGTACCCATTGTTTTGATAAAACCAAAACCTATGAATTTGGAAGAGGCAGATCATAAGAAGAAGGACATTATAATCGATTCTGCATCATCAAGTGTTGTTAGACCTAAAGATGTGGAAGAAATCCCAGAAAGAATTAGATCTTCAAGATTGTTCTGGGAAAGGCCTAATGCTGGTACGCTGGTTGTTTGTCCAGCAAGTGTGCTTCGACAATGGGCTCGGGAATTGGATGAGAAAGTAACAGAGGAATCGAAACTCTCTGTTTTAGTTTATCATGGAAGCAAGAGGACTTTGGACCCAGTTGAATTGGCAAAATATGATGTTGTTTTGACAACGTATGCACTTGTAACCATCGAAGTTCAGAAACCACCTGAAGCCGGTGATGGATCGAAGAAGCGGAAGAGGAAAAATGGAGTTAATTCCGGGGGAGGAACGTTGGGAAAAGTACATTGGTTCAGGGTGATTTTAGATGAAGCCCACATAATTAAGAACTACAAGACTAAAGTAGCTCAGGCTTGTAGCAGACTCAGGGCGAAATCCAGGTGGTGCTTATCAGGAACCCCGCTTCAGAATGAGATTGTGGAGTTGTATAGTTATTTCAGGTTCTTGAGACATGATCCTTACAGTGATTACAAGACCTTTCTTTCTTGTATCCAGACTCTGAAATGTACTGGATCAGGATACCAGATGATTGCGATGGTGTTGAGGTCGATTATGTTGCGCCGGACCAAAGAAACCGTCATTGCTGGGAAGCGTATATTGGATTTACCTCCTAAGATGATAAATCTGAGACAGGTGGAACTCTCCGAAGAGGAAAGGAGTTTCTACGACAATCTTGAACAGAAGTTTGCTTGGCTGTTTAGATTCTATGTTGCTAAAGGAGCCGTCGGGTCGAATTACGCGAGAATTATGCTGATGCTTCTTCGACTTCGCCAGGCTTGTGATCACACTGTACTTGTGAAAAATGCGCACAAAAAGGTTGTTAGGAAAGAATCCCTGGAAACTGCAAAGTCCCTTCCAGGCAAAAAACTTGAGAGTTTATTGGACAAGTTTGGGAATTCTTCTTCGGCTGCCTGGGGTATCTGCCGGGATACACCCGAATCCGCGGTTGTTAGTATCTGTGGGCATGTTTTCTGCTTTGAATGTGTTTTGAATCACTTGACGGAGAAGGAAACTGCTACTTGTCCTAAAGCTGGATGCAGACATGAAATTGGAGTGGATGGTATTTTTACAGAAGAAATATTAAAAGAGTGTCTCCCTCGTATTGCTGCTGCTGGTGGTTCTTCCTGTTTATCTGGGGGCGGTGACAAAGAAGAGGTTAATGAGCCGCCCAGCTCCAAGATCAAAGCCGCCATTCAGGTTCTACAGTCTTGCTGCAAACCATCAAATCCTGGCTCTCAGGTTGTCACCAGTCGGGCGAAAGCTATCATGTTCTCCCAGTGGACAAGCATGCTAGACCTGGTGGAGAAAGATCTTCGCGACACGGGTTTGAAATACCGCCGGCTTGATGGAACGATGTCGCTGGTTGCAAGAGACGTAGCTGTGGAAGATTTCAACACCAACCCTGAGGTGGATGTTATGTTAATGTCACTCAAGGCTGGAAACCTAGGTCTCAACATGGTGGCAGCTACTCATGTCATCCTTTTGGATCCCTGGTGGAATCCGACTACCGAAGATCAGGCCATTGATCGGGCGCACAGGATCGGACAGACTCGCCCCGTTACAGTCACAAGGTTAACCATTCAAAACACGGTGGAAGACCGGATTTTGAGCCTTCAGGAAAAAAAGAGACAATTGTTTTCTGCTGTCATTGGTGAAGATGAAAACCAGGGATCTCGAACTCGCTTAAGCGTACAAGACCTCAAGCATCTGTTCAATGTGAGATAGAGATGGCAATTTTATTTTTTTTTCTTTTTTGGATCGTCACAGCCATGAATGTATGATTTGTGATCAGAAAGCAGTTTTCTGTGAAGCACCTATATATGTTTATTGAACTGCTTCCTCCTTGTCTATTTAATATGATGTTGTTCTTTTGTAATAAGCGTTTCATTTCCCCTCAAATTTCTCTCTCCCCCAAAGTCTCTTCACTCTTCTGTTCAATGTTTTCCCTTCAAAAACCACTGTTGCCGCTTACTCATCTTCTGTTTTACTTATTTTTCTAGAGAAAATATGGCAGGCATATTAACAAAACAGTCCTCAGCTATTCTAAATAATTTTTAAAAAATGTGGTTTAAATTTTTTATTTTCACCCAAGTTAAATTTTTTTAATACATTTTATTTTACATCCTCTAAATTCTGACCTTGCCATTGCTTGTTCCAACATCAACAAGTTTCTTAGTTTTCGCATAAGAGAACAATTATACGTTTGTGCAAGTCCTACCCTATCAAAGTTTACCATATATAAAGTATTATGTTATCCTTATTACTATGTCACATTGTCAATTACGCAAATTGAAGACGTAAAAGAAATTGTGGCACGCCAGGATGGCGCGGGTTGTATCTAGCTACGCAGCATTTCTATTGTTCCAATGTTCAACTCCTTCCAACCGGCACGAATCCTCTGTGCTACTTTTTATCTGTTGTACGATTTAATAATTTCATACGAATTTCATCGTTTGCATTGACATCTACATTATTCACAATCACTTTCAAAGTAATATTTATTTTAGAAGTAAGGATTCACTTTTTTTTTTTTTTTTCTGAGTCAGTGCCTATTTATATTTATTTAAATGCAAATTGGATGCCAAACACAGAGACAAGTATTCCTTCGTAAATCCTTGTTTGTCTCATTAACATATACGTTGATTTTGGAACCACAAGGATAAGCAATAATCGTTAAAGAAAAATAGCTGACAACAACCTAATTATATTTCACCAACTGAAATCTCAAAGAACTCGAAACCCGAACTACAACGATTTCCAAATAATTTTAAGCATGAAATTAGGATACTACTATTGTTTATCAAACACACCCTAAATCCAATTTGGAATGGTAAACTATGTACTCTATCTGTCCCAAAATTATTATCCAATTTAAAATTTCACTTTTAGTAAAAATTGAACTAGAAATGAAAATTCAAACTAGACCATAATTATGGGACGGAGGGAGTACTACTTATTTTATTTCCTTTTTTACGTGGTAATCGGGTTTACGAAAAGCAAATAAATAAAGAGATATCTTCTGTTAAGGATTCTCTGTTTGTACCCTGAAAAGAAAATTTTTAAAAGAAATAATTAAATAAATAAAAACTTCCCCGGCAACTCCAGTGAAAAACTCATCCAACAATTGTGATCGAACAAAGCAGCAGTTGACGATGGATTCATCATCCGACGATGAATCCGCCGCTCGCAGAAGGCCATATTCTTCCATCAAGTCTTCATATCCCAGGCCTTCTTTTTCCCGGCCGCCGGTTATTTCTTGTTCCAGCTTCGGTTTTTATTCTTCCGGCAGAAAAAGAAATCGGAAGCCATCTTCAATGGGGAAGGATGTGACGTGCAATCTTCACAATTTGCCCAGTTTTTGTGAACCCGATTCCGGGAACAATTTCGCCAGCCAATTTCCGAGGAACAGTGAAGAAGATCTTATGTATCAACAGAGAAGAATTAAGCTGATGGCAGAGCCTCAGTCTTATGCCAAGGAATCGCAATCCCAGACGGCTGAATCCGATATCAAGGAAGACAATGGAAGAAAGAATTCACCGGAAACAAAACCCAATAATGATTCTTCTTACTCGCCTTTGGAAAGAATGCAGGATAGGAAAGTTCTGCTTAAAGCCATGGAGGATCTTAATCAGCCCAGAATGGAAGCTGATTTGCCCAAGGGAATATTGTCTGTGACCCTTCTCCGGCACCAGAAAATAGCCTTGGCTTGGATGATGGAGAAGGAAAAAGTAAAGGGTGTTTGTGATGGTGGATTTCTTGCTGATGATCAGGGTCTCGGAAAAACAATCTCCATGATTGCTCTTATTCAAATGCAAAGGCCATTGCAAGAAAAGCACAAGTCGGTGAATAATAAGGTACCAATTACTACTGTTAGAGTGAAAACCGAACCATTGAATTTTGAAGAACAGGATTATATGTGCAGATAAAGTGTTAAAACAGAACCCTTTGTGGAGAATCGAGTAAAAGCCGAAAATGTGGACGAAATTACAACGATAATGAGTTCTTCTTCTAGGAGTGAATTGTACAAGGAAAAGCCTGCAGGTGGTACATTGGTTGTTTGTCCAGCTAGTGTGCTTCGACAATGGGGTCGCGAATTGGACGAGAAAGTGGCAGAGGAATCGAAACTCAGTGTTTTAGTTTATCATGGAAGCAAGAGGACTTTGGATCCTGCTGAATTAGCAAAGTTTGATGTTGTTTTAACTACATATGCTCTTATAAGTATCGAGGTTCAAAAACAGCCTCTTGCTGATGAGGAAAAGCTTGGATCAAAGAAGCGGAAGCGAAAAGATGAAGATGATTCTGTTCCAGGAACTCTTGGAAAAGTACGTTGGTTTAGGGTCATTTTAGATGAAGCTCACATAATTAAGAACCACAAGACTAAAGCAGCTCGAGCGTGCTGCAGCCTCGAGGCGAAAACCAGGTGGTGCTTATCTGGGACGCCGCTTCAGAATCAGATTGAGGAGTTGTATAGCTATTTCAGGTTTTTGAGACATGATCCTTATCGTGATTACGCGAGGTTTGTTAATGGTATTAAGAAGCTGATATGTGGAGGATATGGTTATCGGAGGATTGGAACGGTCTTGAAGGCCATTATGTTGCGTCGAACTAAAGACACTTTGATTGATGGTAAGCGTATATTGGATTTACCACCCAAAACTACACATTTGAGACGGGTGCAATTCTCCGATGTGGAAAGGAATTTCTATGATAATCTTGAAGAGAGTTACTCTTGGTGGTTAAAGTTTTATGTTGCCAAAGGAACTGTTAGAGAGAATTATGCAAAAATTTTGATGATGCTTCTACGGCTTCGCCAGGCTTGTGACCATCCCCTGTTTGTGCAAAATGCGCATAAAAAAGTTGTTAGAAGAGAATCTTTTGTAACTGCAATGACCCTTCCTAATGCAAAGCTTCATAGTTTATTGAAGGTGTTGGAAAAGTCTTCGGTTGTCTGTGGTGTCTGCTTCGATCCACCCGAACTTGCAGTTGTTAGTATCTGTGGACATGTTTTCTGCTTTGAATGTGTGTTAAATCACTTGACTGAGAAAGAAACTGCTACTTGTCCTGAAGTTGGATGTAAAGAAGACATTGGAGTGAGTGCTATTTTTACAGAAGAAGTATTAAAAGAGTGTCTCTCTGACTCTGATGATACTGATGGTGATTCTTCCCAGTCATCTAGTGATGAAGAAGACGTTAAAATCCTGAAGAATGAACCTAGTTCCAAGATCAAAGCAGCCATCCAGGCTTTGCAGGCTTGCTGTAAACCATCAATTCCTAGTTCACAAAAAAATGAATTTGGTATGGCTAGTTCTCAGATCTCCAATCCGGCAAAAGCTCTTGTGTTCTCACAGTGGACAACCATGCTAGACTTGCTCGAGGAAGAACTTCGTGATAAGGGTTTAAAATACCGAAGGCTTGATGGCACAATGTCACTGAATGCTAGAGACATAGCTGTGAAAGAATTCAATACCAACCCTGAGGTGGATGTTATGCTAATGTCACTCAAAGCTGGAAATTTAGGGCTCAACATGGTGGCAGCTACTCATGTAATACTTCTGGATCCTTGGTGGAATCCAACTACCAAAGATCAGGCTGTTGATCGAGCGCACAGAATCGGACAAACTCGTCCTGTTACAGTTACGAGGTTAACCATTCAAAACACAGTTGAAGACCGGATTTTGACCCTTCAGGGATTGAAGAGGCAATTGGTCTCAGCTGTCATTGGTGATCCAAGCCGGGGATCTGCAGCTGGCTTAACCGTACAAGACCTCAAGCATCTATTCAATGTGAGATAGAGTCAGATATTTCTATAGCAGACATCATGTATGCTCTTGAAGAATAATATTTGAAAGAATGCTGACCAGGTTTTGAATGAGTAGTGACCACATCAAATTTCCTTTTGTGGTTTCTATGTAGGACCTTTGTGTTAACTTAACTGCTCCAGTTAGATGCATTCTTCTTGGTCTAGAAATTATTGTTTTTCTTTGATAACACACACACATTTGTGCTGCCATCAATGACAGAGTAACTGTTTTTTGTGAATACACGCTCTTTTCTTTCTTGAATACAAAACATGACTATAAAACTTCAATTACAGGAATCTAATGGAAACGTGTAATAGAATTTCTTTGTGTTGTTTACGGTTGAAAGGTTATAGCATTTTAGATTTTTCCTTTATTGTTTTATCTTTCCATGTCCTTGTAACTTCTTATATGTTTCGTGGGTTTCCAGTTTCTGCATTTCTTCTCTTGGAGGAAGAAAATTTATTCTTGAGAACTCGAGAAAGACTCCTTGCTCCTGTTGCCAGGAAGTCATAGAAAGTGCAGTAAGATTAGTCTGTTGTTTCACAGTGTAAAAGTCCAGTTGTTATCTTAGCTGTATCACATAGTAAGAGCCTTAGTAGGCCTTTGTGATTTTAGAAAACGAGAACATAGAGCACATATCATTTCAGGTGTTCATTATTCACATTTCGAAATAGCAGATGAATCTGTTGAAGACTCTATTGTTCTTTCTGACTCAAAGATCCCTTGCTGCATTGTGCATGTTTGGGCGCCCCTTCTCGCGCCAACCTCTGTCTCTATGATCTGGTTCCATTGAGGTAAAAGCGTGGTGTTGGAATTTATTCACATGTATCACCTCCTTGTATGCTTTTTCATTTCAGATGTTCTGTTAAAGGTGTTCGGAACTGATTTTAGCAGTTCAGTTTTTGGAGCTTCTAGCTACTAAACTTGTCTGCACATAACACAGATGTTTATATAATGGCTATATCAGAAACCAAAATATATTAAACTATCCACAAAAATGCAAGATCAACAAATGAGTCAATCTGATCAAACTGTGACAAGAAACTGAACCAATTCTCACAAGTTGCCAATCTAGTACAATATTAAAATTTCTACAAAAACAAAATCAAACCATCTATGAGATCCAATTTACCATATGTAATGAGTTCAAGGAATTTAACCTAGGTAAATATGACCATACAACAAACTTAAATTATGTAGAACACACACAGAAGTTAAAGCTTGGAGAAACGTACACACCACATCTGTTCTGAGGTGGAAGGAAAACTGGCAGCAACCATTCGGCTTCCCCTTGAACTTTCCCCCACCTATCTCGCTTGCTTGGACTGTGAGGCTTCAAAATTAGGTCTCTTAAAGTTAATCACACAAACTATGCATAATAGTTTCAGAATGAGAGGAAACTGTCTAGACTAGCTTTGCCAGATACCACAAAAGGAATGATCAATATGCGATTAAAGAATAACTTTTACAGAATTTGATAATCAACAATCATTTTAAATATATATAAATATCGAAAAGTAATAGGTACATGATAGCATCACCCCTGCAAAATGTATAACAAGTATGCGCATGCATTTTGTTATGTTCATCATTATACATGATGCACGGCGCCAAACTAATTTGTCTTACTACTAAACTAAAGTTATCAAACAAGAACCTTCTCAGAGGATGGTTCCCTTTTATGATAATAATAACTTTTTCTCATTATGAGATCCCCAACTCTTCTAAACATTGTTTTCCTCCGTCTGTGGTTTCGATCACTATCCGAATCATCACAATGACTGCTGTCTGGATTTTCTAAATCTTCTGAAATTGTTGTTTCACCATCATCTGTAAAGGCTGATGAAGAGTCTCTCGTATGATGAGACACTGGTTTAGGAGTTTGTGGTTCGGATCTTGGCGAATCTGTTGTGTCGAATATGGATCCTTTAAGTGCCTCTTCCTTTTCAGGGTCCTCATGGCTGAGAGTATGATCTGAATCTTCACTGTCCTGCAAGAATTTCAGCTCGTCAAGGTTGAAACTGAAATTCTGCCTTTCTAGGTTGGTGTCCTCATCATGCTCAATTCTAAGACTATGCGTCCTTACTAGCCCATCCTTCTCATTTTCCGGAGTTTTGAGCTCCGTTGATGCAGTAGCCAGCAGCCGCTTGAACTCCTTAACATTCTCATGAGCTGCAGCTTCATTAATCCTCAGACGCTCATTCTCTTTCGAGAGAAAAAGCAAAGCTTCTTCCTTTTCAGCTAGGCAGTCCTTGAGATATGAATTTTCGTCTCTGGCAAGACCAGCAGCAGCTTTGGCAGCATTGGCCTCACTGATAGCCTGCTTCAATATGTCTCTCAGCTTAAAGTTTTCCTCCCTAGCCGCTCTTACTTTAGGTTCAGCAGCTTTCAGGGATTCAGTCAGTCTAGAATTCTCATGTTGACAAATGGCCCTTTCTTCTTCTGCTCTCTTAATGCAACTCACAAAGCCCATTTCTTTTCCATTCCATGCCAAAAGTGATTCTTCGGCTTCTATCCTTAATCTATCTGCAGTGTTTCTGTACAGTTCTGCCTCTTTCTTAGCCTCATCCAGAAGCTTTTCGTATCTTTCCTCGGTGCTCCTCACCATCTTCTTCAATTGCTCTGCCTCATCTTTGACATGTTCTAATTCGAGCTGTGCAACACCCAATTTCTCCTTCGCCTGATGGGCTTCTGTTGCAACTTCTTTAAGTGCCAATGCTAAATCATCCATAGCTTTCTTGCTCTTCTCCTCAGCATCAAGTGCCAATTTGAGTTCATTTCTCAATGATTTCATCTCATCGAGTTCAGAACTCTTGAAGTCATCCTGCTGTGGGTCTTTAGACACATGACCCTCTACTAATTCATGATCAGGCTTTGAACTATCACTTTCTTCTGCTACCAAGTCCCTCTTCTCCACTCTGTCAGGGACGATAACTTCACTGTGTTTCTGATTCGAAGAAGCCTCAAGTGATGCGATTTTCGCAGTCAGGGAAGCGATTTCTATTCTAGATTCTTCAAGTTCCATTTTAATCTGCTCAAGCTGTTTCGTTTGGGATGCTAACGAATCCAGCATTTTCGCTTCCGAGACACTTCCTCTCTGCACGTCATCCTCTAGTTCCTGAATCCTTGTGCTACTTGCATTTAACAACTGTGAAGCATGAGCCTCAGCTATTCTAACTCTATTGATTTCCTCTTTGGATCGGGCTAATGATGCATCTCTCTCGGACAACTTAGCCTCAAACTGTTTTGCCCGCTGGAGTTCTACCTTCAATAGCCCGATGCTGTCATCTTTCATCTTCAGTTCCTCTTCTGATTTCGATAACAACTCCTTCAACTTCTTAATTTCAGCCATTAATTCCCCATCCTTCTTGGGAGACGGCCCCTCATTGACCTTCATCATACTGGCTGCAAAAGCCAACCTTTTCGCCTCCTTCAGTTCGTTGATGGATCGATTCCTTTCTTCCTCCGAAACAACAAAATCTTCTCTTGTCCCCTTCAACTCATAATCAGCCCGCCCTTTTTGTTCTTGCATTGTCACAGCTCTACCAATTCGATTCTATGTATAAACAGAATTGAACAAGTTTTCCACATCAATGAATTAAGACCATCCAAAACAAACAGATAACAATGATGAATGATCCATACCTCGAATGAATTATCAACTTTGGATGGATATCTATCAGCAGACCTTCTTCCAATAGATTTAAGGGCATTTGAATTAATCTGTGAAGCTAAAACATCACCACCTCTGCACAATCTGGATGCAGAAAGGGTCCTAGAAAGAACTGATGGTTGACTTTTTTGTCCAAAATCAACACTCCCAGATCTAAAAACACCACAAAATGAAATCCAAATTCATCGAAAGAATCAATCTTGGAATTATATACCACCAACGTTCAATGCATCATCAATATAGGGGCTCAAAAAGAAAAGAAAACAAAGTTCATTCCAGATTTCACATGCATATCTAGATGATAAAAGGGCATGCAAAAAAATCCAAAACTTTAGAATAAATACCACCCACCAGCAAGAGATTAAAAAAAAAAAAAAGGGGCAAGAGTTAAAAATGGTGTCAAGAACAATGAAGCAGAATAAAAACCAGACAGAGAAAAAATTGGCCCCCCAAAAAAAACAGGGGTTTTGCGTTAATTTCTTCGGTACCTGGATGATGACTTGGACCGTAACATCATCTTTCTTTTATTGGCTAATCCCAGATGATTTCTCGGGTTTGTACGATCGAAAGACTGGAACTTTGGAAAATCAGGAAAAAAATCGGCTGGCTCCAAATCATCCACACTGTGTGAGTGTGTGAAAGAGATGAACAAAAATACTAGTAGTTAAAAATAGGATTCCATTCGGGCCACTTTTGCTGAATCCTGATTCCAGAACCTCTTTCTTCCTCTGCCTCCTTCTTCTTCTTAATCTTTCCCTCTTTCTGGTTTGTTAATACAAAAGTCCGAAGTTGGCGGGCATTCGTCTGAACTGTGCCGTAATAAGCCGTAACGGAAAATGTTTAATTTATTAACATTTTAAGACAAGAGGTCTTTAAAGCCGGAAATAAAAGTCACGTACGTAAGATGAAGTCTTTCGGTATAAAAAAAGAAAGTAAAAAAAAAAAAAAATTAGTATAACAATGTCAATTGAACAACACAATTTCTAAGATGGACCATTGATTAATTTGTATATTGATCTCGGATTTATTACTATAAGCTATGGATTAAATTAATTTTGACATCAAACCAAATAATTTAATTACCCAATAAGAAATTAAACTCTCAAAAAGATATCTTTCAATTTCATGAATCTGTCACGATCTAGTACAATATAGGACTTTTTCGTCTGGCTGCATGGGGGAAGATATTAAATTAAATTAAATGAGATTAGTTGACAATTTTTTATTTGTTACTAGTAGGGAGTAATTCTTTTGATCTTTGATGGCTAGCTGTGAATCCAAATGGAGGTTGCTTCTACTCTGACTTTGTCCAGGGGCCGGCGAACATGACCCTCGAAAATTCCAACATATTTTAATTATAATAATTAATGAAAGTGTGTAGTAATTTGGCATTGAGTGAATCTGGTGAGATTTTTGGAGCCCCGAAGAATTCATGACTGCTTTAAATTTCTTCGAGAAACTGTCATAATTACATTCAGGAAAAAGAAAAAAAAAAGGGGGAAAAAAAAAGAATTTTGGTCTAATACCCTAATATGTAGAAAATTCTTTGGATAATTAATTACGAAAAAAAAATAAAAACATACTCAATTAATTGATCTAAGTTATGTACAAGTGACTTTGGATCATAGCAGATTTCAATGAAAGGCAGAAGAAGTAGTACTAGTATTGAGGAGAGTGCAAAAGGCTCTTCTAATCCGTCTTCTTTTGCTCTTAAGCACTCAAACAGAGGCTCGTTTCGAGATTTTGGTTTTTAGTTTTACATTACGCATTCCATGTAGCTTTGCAGTCTCCAGGCAGGTTGACCAACAAATAGAGATTCGTGTTGAAATTTAATCACATTGTTTGTTTAACACGGATTTTGTGCGATTGAGTGTGAACGCATTTTAGTATTCTTTCCACTTAAAATAAGAAGAAAATTTCCTTACAGTAGTACTAGTTCAGTCTAGCTAGCGAAACATTCTTGTTTTAAGACGGATGTGTCAAAATAAATTGTTTCAAATATGAACTAACGAAAATAAAACACGTAACTTGAACCATTCTTGAAGGAAAGATCCCCTCAACATGTGGGAGGGAATCAATATACTTATGTCAAACATTTAACCCATATACTACTTTGTGTGCATGGGATTTGGTGGGAGTCTAATGGTCAAAGTACTATAATAACAAGATCCATCTAGCCTATGTATACAGATAATATACTATAACATACGCGACTTTCTCCAAACGAGTTGTTCGTTTGAAATGTAAAGTTGTAGGTGTAAGGTTTCAAACCAAAACAACTGGTCATGTCCGCATGTTGAAAGCTCTCATCATCTCGTGTCAATAAGTATAAGCCATACTAATGAATTACCTCCTCATTTCAACGAAATACTAGTAAATTCAAAATGACGAAATCATATTACTTATTTATAATGGGATTAAGGTTCTTGAAGAAGTCAAACACCAAATAGAGTTGGAGAAGAAAGTCTAGAAATACAAGAAGCGATTTTATTGGAATGGAGATATGTATTTTTCTTTTTTTTAATACTAGAAAGCTTTCGCTTAACTTACAAAAAGACTAGATATCTAGACTACTCTGGAAGAGGGCGAAGTATAGTCAAAAGATAGCTTAGCTAAAACTATATTCGGGGAGCAGACAAAATATGTAACCCCGACAAATAAGTATTATTGATATTGGGCATAGGATTGAAGCCCAAGACCAATGGAAAGAAATTGATATTGCGCTGACATGGAACTTCAAATCTAAACTTCTTGCCTTTGGAGGCTTTGGGCTGCCATTCCAGTGTGTCACAGTTTCTCCAACGAGAAAATATGGACAACATTTTGCATTTTGGCACTGGTTGCCTAATAACAAGAGTATAGGGGGAACTTTGGGATTCCAAGATTTGGCTAAAGAGAGACCATACAAAACAAAGCTTCAAGAGACATTCAAAAAACACCTAGAGGGCAGCAATGATTAAAGTACTTACTCCGGCTCAAACCCAGTAAACAACTTCTTCAAACACCATATGCTTAATATATCAAGAAAAAATGACCAAACTCTAACATGCCATTACTATCAATAACTTCAAACACCAAATGCGTAATACACCCAAACAAAAGGACCAAACTCCAACCGGCCATTACTATCAAAGCTATTGGCTCCTCAACAAGCTTGATTTAGGCTGGCCTAGCCCACAAGTATATCAAGCAATGCTTCATATAAAACCCCCAACTGCCTATCCGATGGATTCAACCAAACGAACATACTTTTGCACCACAATTGTTTCTTTGACCATTTCATCAATATCACAGTTACAGTACATTGAACTTCCATTGATCCAGCACAGTTACAGGACAACTGTTCATTGTTTAACAGACGACTCAAACATCATCAATCTCCCATTTCCGGGGAGAATGTAGAACATACACAGCATTAACCATATCAAGAAATAGAATTCACCAAAGGTATAAAGCCATGGCACTATTCCAAGACTTCAGAATTTCATGACGATCGAAACAAATCAGAAGAAACCAATATAGTGAAGTGAGGAAGAAAGAAAATTGATAGCAATAAAAGATAAACAAATATCAAACTACCATTAGATTGGAATTGTTCAAACACCAGAGGTGTGACAAAAGATTCAAACACAAAAGCAGAAATAAACAGTCTGATCATGCCAGCCATCCTTCAGACCATTCCCAAAACAAAACAGTGAAAACAATATCAGTTTATACTGGCATACACCACCCCAATACTAATGGCCAAAACACATAACTACAACGCAAGCAAAAGGTCTTGTCCTATAAACTATTTATAGCATTCATAACACCACCACCAAAAGCTACCATTCTACAGGAGGCCTGATCCTAACAGAACTTAAGCACGTTCACCCCTGATCCTCCTAGCAAGCTGGATGTCCTTGGGCATGATTGTAACACGCTTAGCATGAATGGCGCACAAGTTGGTGTCCTCAAACAGACCCACAAGGTAGGCCTCAGCTGCCTCCTGCAATGCAAGGACTGCATGACTCTGGAAACGCAGATCAGTCTGCACACACATTAAAAAAGAAAAAGGCCAAATTAGTTTCTCAGCAATGGAAGACACATTGTAACCAAAGTGAATTTGCAAACCACCAGCTCAAATGCAGTTATAATTTACCTTGAAGTCCTGGGCAATTTCACGAACAAGCCTCTGGAAAGGAAGCTTCCTGATCAAGAGTTCAGTACTCTTCTGGTACTTACGGATTTCACTACAAACCAGAGACAAACATGTAAAGAACAAAATCAACATACCACAAGGATTACATATCTTACATAAAGGAAAACTAACAAAGACTCAAAAGGATCAACAGCAACTACTCACCGAAGAGCAACAGTTCCAGGTCTGTATCTGTGGGGCTTCTTCACACCACCAGTAGTGGGAGCAGACTTACGAGCAGCCTGAAACATACAATTAACAACCAATTTTACAATCTATTCCTCACATAAACTCATCCACATGAAAGAGAAATAACAAATAATTCTACAGAACAAGGGGGAAAACAGAAACAAACCTTGGTAGCAAGTTGCTTCCTTGGAGCCTTTCCTCCAGTGGACTTGCGAGCGGTTTGCTTGGTACGTGCCATAGCTGGAATTCCAGAAACAACAATCAATTTTAGCCATTAATTTAAAAAACATTTGCCAGATACTCCAAAAACAAAGAAAGAACACGGAAACCCTAAACTGAATCCAAGATAACCATTCCAAATTCAAAAACACCCAATTCAATCGGACCAAAGTGGACCGGTAATAATCTAAAAAAAGGCCGTGACAATCAATTGCTAATTTCCGAAACGATAATAAACCCTAATTATTCCACATCAAAACGAAAAACACAAATCAAAATCTGTATCGTCAAAACCCTAGCCTCTAAGCGGGAAATATTCAAAAAACCAAAAAAGATTTATTCCTAAAACATGGAGGAAAAAGAATCGCACAGAAACACAGATCAGACTTGCATAGCTCAAGAATAATTTGAAAAACAGAAACAAAAAAATAATAACGACAGAGACTGACCTTCTCAGAAGACGAAGAACAGATTTCTCTCTCTAAAAACTCTGTGTTAAATCGCCAACCAATTGAAAAGTTTAAAAGTGGTAGAATGTAATGGTTATATATAGGGGTTGGTGGTGACAGCCTTTGATGGGATTGGACGGCGGAGATTAAAGGAACGTGTGCTTTTCTGAGTACGGTATCGGACGGTATCTAAAGGCATAAGTTGTGTTTTCTGTGCCTAAATGTACGGTTCTGATTGGGTGTTGAAGGATGTGTGTGGATCGAGATGGAGCAACTCTAGCTCCTTATTGGCTGATATGGTTTTGAATTGGATCGTCAGTTGAGTGAGGTTAAAACTTACGTGCTGGAGTAGAATTCTGTTTATAAATGGAAAAATACCACACAAAAAAATTAAACCTAATGTTTTTGCGCACATTTTTATATTTTCTTTTTTTTAATAAATGGTGAGTGATTATTATCTAGCTTTTTGGCAGCCATTAGGAATTTGCTCATTTGATATCATTAATGGCGAAATAAACGAGATTGAACTCACCCCGTGGGTAAAACCGCACTTATAACTATTGTTGGAAATCAAACCCTACTCTATTACTAAGAAAGACAACTATATAAACCACTAGAAATATGCTCATTTGATATTATTAATCGTGAAATAAACGAGATTGAACTCACTCCTGTCCCAATATGACTCATTTTTGTTAATGAAGAAAATACCGACTACTAATTTACAATACACTTTTTTTTTTGGGTATCCACCGCAGCAATGAAAAATAGAAAAAAAAAACTGAGAAGAAAAGAAAAATTGGGTCTTGTTTGGCATATTGGTTTTTCCAAAAAAAAAAAATAAAGAAAAAAAGATCTTAGGAGTGTGAATTGAGGAAGGTATCCAGCCTTTCCCTAGAATGCGAAAGGGTTTGCAATGCCACTTACGGCAAAAAAAATTAAAAATAAAAAAAAAATACTACTATATAATAATAAAAATTAAGAGAATTTGAAAACCGCAAAAAAAAAAAAAAAAATTCAGAAGAAAAAAGTAGAGAGGATCTTCATAATATTACCAATCAGTCCCATGATGATATGTTTTTATTCCTTTTGAGTTAGTACAAAACTTTGTGGTAAAAATAATTACTAAAACTAAATCAACCTGATTATAATGTATTGTCATTTTTTTCCCGTATAACTTTAGGACAATACTCCCTCTGTTCCAGAAAATTGTCCAAATTTTTAATTTTAGGACCCAAAAAAATGAACAAATTTAAACTTGAACCCATCAAGCGCCAATCCTCACTCCATCTACGGTACTTTAAAGGCAACAAAAGCAAAGAGAGATCATGTTGATCCAATTTGTCGTCCTAAGTTCAATAATGTCAAACATAGTTGTTAGCTAAATCCAAACTGCACATCAGCATTCAGCACTCAGATTGTCGTTACATTTCTAGCATCTTGGCGTTCAAGTTCAACTTGTATTTTAGTCAATGATGATAATAGCATGAAGTTGTATTTTCATATTGTGTCAACTGTCAACAATGATAAATTAGTTGTTCTAGTTCGAAAGAGCATTATTCATTTGTGGAGAATTAAATTTGGAATGGGAGATAAGAAAGGATGACAAAATCCAATGGAATGGTGTATCCAAGAGTCCAGTGAAACAAATCTGGGAGAAAGGAAATCACTTGGACAAAAATAATTAAATAGCCAATGAAAAATATGGGGTGGAGAAAGGAACAAAGGAAGTTCCAAGGTATTACAAAGCAAATTACACCATTCACAACCATTGATAGTGTATTCCTCCTGAGAGAACTCAAATTGTACCTACTACAAATCAGAGGCGAGTATAAAGGAATCTGAAAGAATTTAACTTTTTTAAGATAAACAAGAATAAAAACCTAAAAATTTCTGCTTGCTACAACTTTACAAACCGTGTAAGCAAAAGAACTCTCTGACAAGTATATATATACTCAGGACTGTACCACTACGCTAAAACCATCACTACTGCTATAAAAGGCAAATCCATCAAAGAATCCCCCAAGAAATTTTGCACCCCTGATCTGCAGATGTATTTCTTTAAATTTTCAACAAACAATAGCAATCTCGTATTGTTCGATCTCTATCAGTCGTACCATGTTTGTACAAGCCGGGACATGTTTACTGAAATCACTAGCTCTTTCCGGGGATGTAGTGGGGGCCTTTTGACTTTTGTTGCCCTTAATATGGAACACTGGACCCCTGGCATGTTGCTGGATTCACAAAGCTGAGCTCTTAATTTGTACCGCGCGAGTGAAAACACTTCTCAACCTTGAGGTGATTTGCAAGTCGGAAGACAGGAGAAGACACAAGTTCAGAAGTTGGCGAAAGAGACTTGGGAAATTCAGGCAAGCAAACAGGCAGATACTGGTCGCTGCTTTCACGTATACAAAACAAAGTAAGCACAGCCCTGCAGAAAATGAACCTGGGACAAACAATACGCTAGATCAGCTGTAAGAAAGAATGAACAGTATCACATCAATTGCAGATAGCAAAACAGGTCACCGACTGCAGTAGTATGTTTTCCCAGGGCATCCAGATATCTAGTAAACACTAGCTGAATATTTAAGGACCCAACTTTTGCAGTAGAGGTCCATCACACAGAACATGTTCTGCATAATTAACAAGTACAGTCAACTGATTCACGCTTACCGAAGTATTAGCCGCCGAAGAAAATGATCAGAAAGAACTTGAGCCCACACTAGATGTAGGCTACTAGTCGTACAGAGAATTTTCTCCCATTCCGAGAATGCATCAGAGATGATGCTGTCAGCATCTCCAAAGACATCCTAAAAGAGGAAAAGAAAAGCAAATTAAATAATTGGAAAAAAAAGCATTTTAGAATAACAAGGCTCAACATATAAAATCTACCTACCATATCGTCGTCAGAGAACACAAGGCCAACCAACTGGCAAAAAGCCTGTAAAGGAGCAGTTAAGAACAAGGTAAACTGGCTTCCACTGTGTGAAAAATCAGCTTCAGTTGGATTCTTAAATGATGGCCTCAATGGAGAAAGAAGTAAAGCAGCCATTTCACCTCTTTCTGCCCCATGTAAACCCTGGAAAAAAAATTTTGATGTATCAGAAACTTTCACAAGTAAAAGGAACATTCAAGTGAGATAACCTACAACTCCGTAGGTAGATGACACACAATTCAACAAAGCAATCACAACTTTCCAGCATGCAACATGTTGAAAAGTCTCTAAAACACTAGGGTATGGAAAAACATCCACATAGGGCTACGGAAGGGAAGAGGAGGCAGTGAACAGAACAACGGAGGAATATGTTGTTTATGAAAGACGATATTGACAAATTGAGGAGATATGGGACACATACATGCACCACATGCAACACAAAACACTTCCAAGTATCTCAAAAACAAAAGACAAACCCATGCCATTATCCCAGGACTTTGGGAGCTTTGTAGAGAGAGAATTCAAGAAGTCCCACTTTTAGGGGTCAGTAGATCATATGCCGCTATCATGCTCAGTTGACCCAAAGAATACAATCACTGCTAAAATTTGACTTGTGAACATCACTATAATCTTGATCTCAATATAGCTCATCAATTCCTTATCAGCGGAGCCAATGGTCTGTAAGACTCCTAACTATGAAACCTCTAATTTGTGACTATTGAGTTGAGGAATTGATACTTGAAACAGTGAAATTTTTTATTAGTCAAATGAACACAAAATTATTGTTTCCTTTTATTTGAATTTGGAAACATTTAAATATGAAAGATATCATATCCTATTCTACTCTTTTCACCTCATGAAAATCATGCAATAAGTAGATATTGTATAGGTAGGACTAGCTACAAAGAAGCAGTGCTAAGAACTTTTGGAATGGTCAAGGCATCTCTGCTAAGAACTCTATATAATACAGAAACAGAAGAAGAACTCATTCAAGAGCCTGCATTTATCAAGTCTCAATACTCTGCAGTGATCTCACTTACACAAAAATACAGACACCATTTCCCAAAGGTAGGTCATGGATTACCCAGATACGTAAAACAAGAAATAGACAAAGTTATGACAAACCTGCCTTGAATGCATAGCTGTTGTCACTATCTACAATCAAGAAAACAGGTCGTCTGGTAAAAGGAATTAGATCACCAGGATATATGGTATTTGGTCCTGAAATACACAAAAGTATTGCGTGAGCGAAACCATATTAAGATAACTAATTAGCAACAATATTTTGCACACAAGGATACAGGATATGAATGTGATACCTCCATCTCTACCAGGACCCAGCCACAAACCATTTGCAAAAAGATCACTTGAGTCACTAGTGCCATTTACATGGTTGTCACGCGAATGGTTATTGTTTTCATGGTAACTGTGACTAGTCTTTGAAGATCTCCTGGCATTTACGGTGTTTGCGACTGGCGAAAAACTACCTTGTGCTGCATAACAAGATATTGATTAATTTCACAGCTACAGTGCCAAGATCAGTTTATAAAGAATCGAAAAGTATACACCGCAGTTTACCATTTGCTGACAGATACAGTAGCATCACGCTGTCCATAGGTAGCTCTTCACAGATAGTAGCAATAACCTGGATTCACAATTACAAAGACACATAAGTAGAAGTCAAGAAAAAGGGCTGAAATGAATCATAAACAAAGATAATTGGAAGTTCACATTCTATAGCTCCAGCAAATCCAAACGATGGAATGTCTACAGTTAGCAGCTTCATTAGGGTCAAGTGAGAAGGGGCTACACATGGATTCTAGGTGAGAAGGGGCCACACACATGGTTTCTGGGTGGCCTAAATTTTGAGCAAATATTTGAGAGCACTAGACAGAATGGTGAACTGGTGAAAAGCCAACAAGCAAGATAGTTTAGAAGGTCTAAAAATAGCCTAAGTTAGTATCTGATGCATAAAATTTGCTACATGGTTGACTGACAAGCCAGCGTATGGCTGTTCTTCTCTGAGGTAAGGGTCAAATAAGTGAAAGCAAGGGCAACTTGCGGAAGGGGCCAAACAGTATAGAATAGCCAAGTGCTTCAATTTATGGTGATGAAATAGAAAAGGCTACAACCGTTTTCAGGAACCAACAATGTTAAACAGTAACTGAGAGTTTACTCATCTGAGAACAGTTGAAGATACAAAAAAAGAAAGAGAAACAATTCCAATACTTACAGCTAGTAACTGCGTGGCTGAAGGACGATGGAGAACATATTTCCTAGGATTTGGTGGCAATGATGGATCTGTAAAATCAGCTGCCAAGTTTATATCAATGAGTCCAGACGCAGCAGAATGATCAGCCATAGCACCATTCTCTCGTGATTCCACCAATTCACTCTTTTGATAGAATGATCCACTGGGTTCCCATTCCAAACATTGAAGCATTCTAAAAGTGTCCAAAGTTAGTTCTGCAAATTTGACCTATTCAGACAAGAAGGAAGGAAAACTGCAAATAGTCATTAAAAGATCCAATAGGTAATGGTGTAAAGCGCAATAAAGCGAAGAAGATGAATTTCAAAATTGTAAATACAGCATCATGAAATTTCAAGAATTGATTACCTCATTTTTGTGATAACTTGCAAGTAGAGCATCTCGAAATTTCAGAACTTTCTTGGCATGGAAACGGGCAACATACGGAAGAGAGGATGGAAATGAATCAAATATTGCACAGAGTCGCAAAGGTCGGACAATCAAGAAGGCCGAATCAGCTTTGGTAAAACGAAGGATCTCTTGCAACACGAGCTTCCATTCCTTGAAATTGGTACTATCCTGTGACAATAAGGAAAGAAGCTCAAAAATCTAGTATATCATTGAGAACTGTCTTCTACAATCCTACCCTCTATTCCCCGATCACTCTGAAGAAGAAGGGTAAGATTCAAATTCAAAATGAAGATAGTGGGAAGTTCATGTTCTTGAATTGGTAATATTCAAATGTACTATAGCTGAGCTGATGATTGCAGATATTGTAATTTTCAGACAAATTTGGTCATCATTAGAGAAGTCAGACAAATATCTGGTCATGAACTCAATCCTAGACTGACAGAAATAATCACAAGTCAAATCATGAATGATTAAAATGACCATAAACAAACAAGGAAGAACAGTTCAGCTCAATTAGGCCGGAAAGTTCTCAAACAATCAACCGAAAGTGAAATGAGAAGCTATGGAGAGTGAGTTGTACCGGAAAGGTAGATTTACTGTCATCAACAAGAGCTTTAAACTTATCAACGAGCAATTTAACCATCTCCGACCGGTTCAGAATCAAAGAAACCAGCAGAAACCTGGCGTAAAACCTCAGCTCCTTAAACCGAACTCCTTTGTCCTTCTTGGAGCCTTCATCGAAGTATTTCCGATGCAAAATCGCCTCGTAAAACACGTACGCCTCAATCAAATACCTGGCCTCACTGGTTCTCATGTACTGGCTGAAATACAGCTGCCCGATCCTGGAAGCGATCTCCCCGATCTCCCACCTCTTCAGCCCCGAACTCGTCAGCTTCGCCCGGTTCTCCTGCTGGTATTTCCAAAGCGTCATGTACGACTTGAACACGCTGTGGAAGTAATGAGCGTACGGCGCACGTGCGTACGACGGCGCGTCCCTCACACGCGCGAACTTCTTCTCGGCTTTCTCCACCAGCGATCGGAAAGTCCTGGCCACAGTATCCGCCGGTAACTCTCCTGCCATCTTTTCCTTCCGTTTCCCTACCGAGAATATCACCTCAACATTTTCAAAATTCCCCTTTCCCCCAGAATTAACAAGTCAAAACAGGCACCGTCAATGACGTCGTCGTCGGTCGTTGTCCTCTTAAAGCAGCCGTTACACAGAGCATCCGTCATGCAACAAGGATTATTCTAATCACCCGGAAAAAGAGAGTAATTCACTCCAATTAGCAGTATAAGTAACAAAAAGACGCATATTACGCACTTTGTTTGTATCTGAAGAGCCCTGCGTGAAGGGACTGAACAAAAGCTGGGCAAGGAGGGGGTTATCAAAATATTCTTTTTTGTTTTTGGCTTTGTTTTGTAGTGGGAACAGACTAATTTAATAGTGGTTGGGGGAGTTGGGTGTGCTTTTTGAGGTCAGAGCTTACAGTGGCGGCGTGGGTGAGCTGGCCGGCGATGTTCAGATTATATGCACTCTTTTTTTTTGGGTTCAAGCCGATATGACAGATTACAAGGGAGAAGAAAGAGTCTGATTCATTTAACAGAGAGAATGCTGCTGCAAAACTACTGTGTGTGTGTGTGTGTGTGTTTTCTTTCTTTGTTGTTCAGCAGTTTCAGATTATGTGTCTGTGAAAACGGGTGGGTGGCCCGGGGCGGGTTGATTTTTTGGCTTGGGGATGAAATTGATGGGATGGGTCGAATTATTCTGGAGGAAAGGGCGGGCCAGTATAATCTAGGGTGGTTGGTTTTTTTCTTGTTTTTTGTTTTTGTGAATTGTGACTGCTAAAACTGGTTTTGGGCCCCACTGCCACCGTGCGTTTGGATGGTTTTTGTTTATCCTCTCTGTTTTACTTTTGCATGTGGAATTTAACGTAAGGAGAATTTATTGAAACTTTGCGACTTTTTTTTCTTTAATAAAGAGTTTTTTGAATTTTGGGTAATTTTTTTATTCTTCTTTGGGAATTACGAGCTTTTTTTTTTTTTGCCTTTCTTTGTTAACAAAATACCGTAGGGGATAAGTCTTTGGACGGGTGCTTTTCAGAAGGACAAAATTAAAAAAAAAAAAAAAACAGATTGGACACATGGCTTTCCAAGCATCTCTGTTCTTAATCAAGATTATAGTAATTTGAAACGTTCAGAAACAATAAATTGCGAAATTGATTGTAACATAGTAATTGGTTTTCGTATTTTTTCACAAGTGGCTCCTCTGTCTTTAGATAAGTTGACTGAATGGTTTTATTATTTTCATTGTAGTACTTGTTAGTAATTCAATCATAATTATATATTTTTTATACCAAAAAAAAATAAATTATTTTTCTATTGACCTCTAACAGTCAAAAGAAAATGATGGATTAACAAGTATGTTTGCCCGAAACATTCTTGTCCTAAAAGTCTCTCCTTTTGTCTCTAACTCTGACTAAATCAATGTCTAACATTAATTTACTTGAAATTTGAATAAAAGAGTGGGAGTATTTCGTAACGCTCATAGTCATACATTGACTATATGGACTCATAAATTCTCCTTATCAAAGGAAAATGGTAGTAGTTCATATCACATTCGTTTGTGAAATTAAAATAAAATAGCAATTAGCAAACATGATTTTATGTTACCTAGCTTTGTGACAAGAAAAATATTAACAAACTAGAATCTTTAGTTGATTTTTTTGTTGGGGATGGAGAATCCCTCTGGTATTTGTTCAGGAAAATGATATGGATAGTGAGAAAAAAAATATTGGCTCATGTAAAATATTATGATTTTTCTATTTTATTAATATTTTTACGTCAAAAATTAATTTTTCTCCTAAAATGATATTTTTATTCATAAATATTAGGTACACATCAGTCACTATGAGTTTTTTTCTGTCTCAAAAAAAAGAAGAAGTCGGTATTGGATTTTAAAATTTATATTAAAATAGTATAAAATTAAAAAATCAATGTAAACTATTCTTTTGAAACAAAGATACCGCTATTTTTACTACATGTATCATTGCTCATTTACTTATTTGACTTATTTTATATGCTCTTGGGAACAATTAAACAAGAGGGCAATATGCAAAAAAAAAAAAAAAAAAGGCCAACGTCCATATTTGTGGTTGAGGGGTAGGTAAATGAGCCAAATTTTTAAGTAGCTGTTAAAAAGAAACAAATGCCAGAAATATTGTTATCCTTTTGAGAGAGAGGGGGAGTTGGTGATAGATTTTGTTTTGTTTATGATTTTCGATGAACAAGTTCGTTAATTCCCAGGTGAAGTTGGTCTGGGTTACTATTAGTATGCATTTTATATGACGAATTCAACCGCAGCTACCGGTGAGTGAGTGACCATACTTTTTGGTGGTATTATTTACGTCTGAAACGAAATTTCAATCTATTCGTGAATTAAAATAATGCAATAAGATGAACCCTTTTTTTAATGTAATAATCTTTGTTACTTAATGACGGGCACAAACTGCACTCTACAACTTAACTATTCGACACAAATAATTATGTTTCGAGCTATAAAGCTTTTGAAAAAAATATTTTAATCGCTTACATATGGTAATATTAACACTACATGTCATGGTTTTATTAATTCAATTAAGAAATTATAACTTAAGCAAATAGAATTTAAAATTATACTATTATTTTCACGAAATCGTAATAAAAACTAGTAGTATATATTACTTGGTTCGTGCTCACACGAATCACAACATAAAGGGAAAATTGAAGATTATACAGGAAAGAACGAACTACGAATAGGAAGTGTGCTTCATCCACTACGACATGATTCACATTATCAATGTCCGTTGAATCTGAATCTCCATTTTATTCTTTATATTCTGCAGCGTATGATTTATAGAATCTCAATGTCACATAAATCAATAAATTGTTACTCCTGAGCTGTAGCACCCCCAAAGGAATCCATCTACCAACGAACAATCCTCATTCTTTGATCTTCAAGAATGAGGACCATCCTTTCCATCCAAATTATTATTCCCATTAATATTTTAACCAGAGAAATAGTTTGATTTTTTTGTGAAGTAAATTCGTGGTTAGAACATAATGATATAGATATTTTCATCTGTAAATTGCTCTAATATAAGAATTTTGACTTTAGTCCATTTTGCTGTACTAGAAAAAAAATTGCACTAGTTTACCATTAGAGATTATGTAAGACCCCGAAATTAAAAATTAAATGATCAAAAAGCCTATATGTTAATAAACTTTTTTTTAGAAAAGAGTAAATCACTTTTACCTCATTAACTCAATCGAAGGAGGAAGGTAGCAGAAAATTGAGTAAATGATCGCCACATGAAAAAGACATTATTGCTGGTCCAAACTGATAATTTCCATCAGATTAGAGCTGTATACTGGTCCTGCGCGGTCACTTTCACCGTTCGAGCGAGCAACACTACTTATTATGTGCAATTAATTTTCATCCTTCAATTAAAACATAACATTCTTTTCGTCCCAACCAAATAATTAAATCAGCACGATTTTAATTTTAGGACAGAGTGTTTCACAAAAGAATATGTATATGTATGTACATGTTATTAATCGGTTCATGACGAGGCAAACATGTTCCCGGATTTTGATGTTTGTGAATATGAAGCTTGGAACTTAAGATTATGTCGACTCTTATATATATATATATATATATATATATATATATATATATACTGTGGAGATTAGGTCGACTTAATTTTGTCAATTATTCATATTGAATTGGACAAAAGAAAAGATGGACTTTTTGGTTCACCATGATTTGTAGTTTATTGAGCTACCCTATTTCTTTGTCATCAAATCAACAATGTCTTATCTCTCAAGTAAAAACATACACAGTGATCAACCTCAGTTTCAACATAAAGCCACCTTAAAAAGTCTCAAGATCAAATATCTGGAAAGCACTTAAAATTTTTAGGCTTTGTTTGTTTCCTTTTCTTGATGATATTTTTAAATTAAATTATTATAAACTATCCCATCCAATATACATTTTTACATTTTCAATATTTTTTTTTTTACATTTTGAAGCCTGAAAATGCTCCATCGATCCGTTCATACTTCATGCAATAAAAACCGTATTTGTTATACTATTTTAGTATAATAAATATAACTCTTATCTTAGGACAAAAATATATAGAAACAATCACCAGCATCATGGCCCTCATTAATCCCTTTTTAACCTTTGTCTATCCATCTACTCTGAAGAACCTGGTCCTTAATTAATCAACAATTTCATATAAAATTCAATTAATGCACAACATTTTATTCACTACTATATATTGCAAATGGAAAGTTGCTCCGATTCATACACATTACCCCTCCTTGGGAGTTTTCGGTCTTCTATTTTGAAAATTTTGAATATTTTTCCTAATTTATTTTTGCGTTGAACAACTATCAACTGTTTAAAAGGCATTCTATCGTTATTCTCTACAATATATTTAGCTCAATCACTTATATGCTTTATTTAGACTTAAAGAGTTATATTTTAAACAATGGACCATTGGAAAAAAATGCAAGAAGTTGCATGTTTAGAAGGCAACAACGAAAACTATTTGAAGATGTATTGTCAATATAATAATATGTTTAGTAATCTTTGCACTTAAGATAAGCTTGTAGCTCAGGAGAGCGAGTAATATATAATATAGGCGTGCACGCGTGGAGTCTCTTCCTAATAGTAATATCCTTTTCCCCAGTAGATCCCATAAATGTAAATGGTATATATATATATATATATATATATATATATATATATAATGAGATAACAAAAACAATAAAACCAGACAGCTGAAATAGATGGCGAAACTGTTTCACAACACAAAAACATTTTGGAGATTGGAGTGGTTAAATGTCACCTCTCAAAAGTTTGGGGTTTTCGTACACTCAATTGCATGGAGATTTTTTTTTTTAAATGATAGTAATGGTGTAATCCTATCTTAGTTAAATTATGAAATGCATAAAGGTAAAGTTAACATGTCCTCTATTACTACGTCTTAAACTCTAACCTTTATGCCTTTTATCTGCTTTCACAAAGTTTAATGGAAATGCTTTTCTTTTGCTTTATTAGGTTATGAAAACCTTGAGAGACCCTTTTTATGATTTATTTTTTTGTGTTCTTTATTTTCAAAATAGAAATATGAGTATTTTAAACTACAATCGATCCATAAAGACTTTTGTATGATTGTAATCCCTAAAGAGACCCAAGCTCTAATATAAATGTTGATTTCTAGTCATGATTTGTTCTTCCTTAACAGTTTACACCAATATCTTACCATTTTAACAAGAACCCAAAGACTCTCTCATAAATACTCCTATATTTACGTAGTGTTCATTGTCGCAATAGTAACTAATTCAGTATAGATAATCCCTTTACCCTATTAAAGCAGAAGACATGAAGCTAATGTGGCGACTATGTATCCCATTACTCTATTAAAGCAGAAGACATGAAGCTAATGTGGCGACTACGTATGAATTTGTTTTGGCTCCAATGCACCATATTTCAGATTTCAGAAGTCTTTTTGTCACGTGTAAGTCTTTTTTAATTAGAAGTCATATAATTTTTTTTTAAAAAAACATGTTTTAGATGTGGCCCGAGCCCAATGAAAAAAATTCTACAAATAAGGATCAGTTACATTTCAAACGAATGGATATATTAATTCAAATTCAAATGTCCAATCGTACAGTTTTGCAAGCTTAATATAAACAAAAAATAAAAACACCTAAATCCAGCAATTAAGAATAATGCCTTATCA